ATGGTGCTCCCGCCTGAAAGTCGCTTGCGAATATTGAGACTTTTTATCATTATGGCTTTTTCATGTCGTCTGTGTTTCTTTTTTGTGACAGCGAGGGACGGTGTGTTAAAAAAAAGGAAATTAAAAAAAATAAGGGAAGTAGCAAACGGGTTGACGCATCATTATGTTCATTAGCATCATTATCAACACCACCTTCATCATTACCATTCGTCGTCGTCATCATCATCATCATCATCATCATCATCATCATCATCATCATCATCATCATCATCATCATCATAATCGTCGTCGTCGTCGTCATCGTCTTCGTCATCATCTATCATCATCATCATCATCATCATTATCATCATCGTCGTCGTCATCATCGTCATCACTATCGTAGTCCTGGCAAGGCGACATCCCCCCCCCCCCCCCGACATCCCCCCCCCCGACATCCCCCCCCCCTCCTCTTCGGCTTGAGGGGAAAAGAGGCTGATCCTGACTTTTCCCTTTTTTTTCCTCTCTTTCCTTCCAACACTGGGCTCTTTGTTTTTATTTATTTTTTTATTGCGTTGGTCCCTTCCCCGTTTTGCCTTCGTGCTCTGCTAGCTTTTGTATTTTTTTTTCTTTTCCTTTCTTTTCTTTTATCGTCGTTTCTATTTATTTCCTTCGATTTTTGGGATCAACTTATTCGCCTTTTTTATTTTATTTATTTTTTTCTCTTTACTGTCTCCCTTACATTTCTTTTCCCTCTTTTTCTCCTCTCACCCTTCCACCCTCCCTCACCCCCCCCCTCTCCTCACCCTTCTACCATTCCTCTTCCCTCTTCTCCTCTCCTTTCCACCATCCATTTTTCCCTCTTTCTTAATCTCCTCTGTCTTGCCTTCTCATGCACTTTCCTTTCCTTCCCTCTTCCTTCCCCTACCCCCTTTCCCTTCGCCATCTTTCTTCATTCCCTTTCTCTTCCCGTCACTTTCTCTACCTCCCTCCTACCTCCCCGCCCTTACCCTCCCTTTACCTCTCCCTTCCGTAGCTCCCCCCCTCCCCGGGTGATGATAGCGTAGGCGGACTTTATTAGCGCCGCCGGGCCATCGTTCCCCGGGGGGCCATGAGCGCCTCCGATACGGGCGAAGGCCTACGTGCCGCCCCAGCTGTGGAACTTTTCTTTTTCCTTCTTTTTGTTGTGGGATGAGGTGGGGGGGAAGGTGGGGGTTGGAGGAGGAGAAGGATGTCTTGTTATTTTCGTGTGTAAGGGGAAAGTTGTATGGGGGGGAGGGGTTTTGTGTGTGTGTGTGTGTGTGTGTGTGTGTGTGTGTGTGTGTGTGTGTGTGTGTGTGTGTGTGTGTGTGTGTGTGTGTGTGTGTGTGTGTGTGTGTGTGTTTCGGCCGGGACTGGAGGTATTGCAATCGATCTGCATTTGTTTGCCTGTCCTTTGCCTTTTCCTTGAAACCCTCTTAGCGTGATGAGGGCGGCGTCCTTTGAGGGGCCGCCGTCTGCCTTTTGTGAGCGGAGGAGCGAGAGAGAAAATACACCTTTAGTTGGTCACAGCCTCCGCCGCTCCGCTCGTTCATCGATGCGACGGAAACGGGAGACAAAAGATGCACCCTTTGAGTCACCGTTTTCGCCGCCGTGCGTGTGTGTTTGTGCGTTTGTGCGCGCGGTGTGTATATGTATGTTTTATTTTTTTTTCATATATGTTTATGTGTATGTATGTGTATCCTTTCGAAGCGAGCGCGCGTTTCCATATTCCTTCGTTCCTTCCCTCCCTCCCCCGTCCTGCGCGCTGAGTCGAGAGCCGCGGCGAGTGTTGACCCTTCCGTAATTGGGTTGGCCGAGGCGAACGGTTTCCCCCCCGAGAGAAAATTGGCTTTTCATTTCCTACATTGTTTGGTCGAGCGAAAGGCTGTCTTATTACCCGCCTGCGTGCCCCCCTTCTCCCCCCCCCTCCCCTCCCCCTCCCCCGTCGCAATTACACCTCTTTGAGTCCTCCCGTGTGTACCTTGGTGCCAGTCGCTACTGACTGACAGTGCCAGGGCCGGGGATAGTGTCACTGCCGGTGCTTGGGATTTTGTTTTATTATTTTCTTTTACCCTTATTTTTTGTTTGTTTGACTTTACTTTCGATGAGTTACATTTGCTTTACTTAGACGTCAAAATGCATTTTCATAATCATGGTATGTGAAAGAGAGCGAGAAAGCGACAAAACGAGAGAGAGAGAGAGAAAGAGAAAGAGAAAGAGAAAGAGAGAGAGAGAGAGAGAGAAAGAGAAAGAGAGAGAGAGAGAGAGAGAGAGAGAGAGAGAAAGAAAGAAAGAAAGAAAGAAAGAAAGAGAGAGAAAGAGAGAGAGCGAGAGCGACAAAGCAACAAAGAGAGAGAGCGAGAGCGACAAAGCAACAAAGAGAGAGAGAGTGAGAGCGTGAGCGACAAAGCGAGAGAGAGCGAAAGCGAGAGCGAGAGCGAGAGAATTCGTCTTGTCCCACCTCCCCTGGACTAACTCCCCCCTCTTCTTCCTCTCGTTGCAGCGAACTGCGGAAGAACGACATCAGCATCATCGAGCCGGGCGCCTTCGCCAACCTGACCAACCTGCGTAAACTGTGAGTAGCGGGGAATCTTGTCGTTAGTTTTACGCTTTTTTGTTGTTATTTTTACTCTTTTTTGTTGTTATTTTTACTCTTTTTTGTTGTTATTTTTACTCTTTTTTGTTGTTATTTTTACTCTTTTTTGTTGTTATTTTTACTCTTTTTTGTTAGGTTTACTCTTTTTTTGTTATTCTTACTCTTTTTCGTTGTTAGTTTTACTCTTTTTTGTTGTTGTTTTTACTCTTTTTGTTGTTTTTACTCTTTTTTGTTATTTTTACTTTTTTTGTTGCTATTTTTACTCTTTTTTGTTGTTAGTTTTACTCTGTTTTGTTGTTAGTTTTACTCATTTTTGTGGTTATTACTCTCTTTTGTTGTTGTTTTTACTCTTTTTTGTTGTTATTGTTTTAATTGGGATTCCTTTTTTGTGATTGCTTTTATGACTGAGTTATTATCATTCTTTTTTTTTTTTTTTTTTACTTTGATCTCTGTTACTATGATTCCTTTTATTGTTATGGTTTATTATCATGTCTGGAGCGTAAGTATGCTCAGTTTTTATGATTATTATGCTTTTATTAGAATTGCTTTCATTATTATGACGCTTATTACCATGACTTAGTATCATTATGCTTAATTGTTACTACGGTAACTGCTATAATTATTTTTCCTTTGTTTATTTTTTATTCTGTTTCACTTTTGTCACGATTCACCGATTGATTAATTAATTAATTAATGCTCTTTATGTTTTTTTTCATGTATTGCCGTTTTGATCAGCCATATCGCCATGCTTGAATTTAGACTTCTTTCAATTGATTAGTTGATCGTTGTATCAAGTTGTGTGCAATTGCAAGTTGCTCGCTGTTCCGGACGGTTCGCTATTTCAAGTTGCCCACTCTTGAAGTTGTTTGTCGTTCCAGCGCGATCGTCGAGAAGAAATTGTCCGGACTAGCCGACAGATTCCCTCTTCTGATTATTTGCAATCAGCGTCGATGGCAAGTGCAATTTTGATTATCGTCGCAGAAGCTCGGCCGAAAATTCTCGGGTTTGTTTTTCCGTGAATTAATGTCCGGCGCGGTTGTTGCAGCTTGGAGCCTGTCTGTCGTCTTTCATTACTGAGAGGAGCTGGAAGGCTGTTTTTTTTTCTCTCTTTTTTTCTTTTTTTTCGTGTCACTTGTTTATTGCCGTTATTGTTTCCTCTTGTGTTTGCCCTTTTTTTTTCTTTGGTATTTATGTTGTATTTTAGCGTTGGTTTGTTGCTGACCGGAATCCACTAACCTCTCCTCTCCACACGCCCTCATGTGGAGGAGGGGAAGGGGGAGTGCAAGGTGGGTGGGAGGGGGGGCGGATGGGCGGCATGGTGGGCGGCAAGGTGGGTAGGTGGGCGGCTCGCGTGACGGGCGGCGCTCCTCCCGCCGAGGCCTGTTTGCGGGCGGCGTTGATGACCCGGCGCGGCGCGGAGTAATGGGCGTTGGATCCATAACGTTAATGGGTGTTGTTACGTGCACATCCATCATGACAGGTACAGCGAGGAGTCACGGGCGGGGGGAGAGGGGAGGGGACGAGCGAGGGGGTGGGGGGAGAAGCGAGGGAGGGGGCTGGGTGCGAGTGACGGGGGGGACGAGCGAGGGGGGCGGGGGAGAGGGGAGGGGGCGAGCGAGGGGAGGGGGCGAGCGAGGGGAAGGGGCGAGCGAGGGGGGTGGGGTCGAGCGAGCGAGGGAGGGGGCAAGCGAAGGGTGGGGTGGAGGGAAGTGAGGGAAAAGAGAGGGAGGAAAGGTGAGAGCGGAGAGAGAACGGAGGGGGGGGGGGTTGGGAGAAGGGGGGGGAGGGAGATGGATAAAAGGGAGTACGGGAAAAGGGTTGGGCAGAGAAAAGGGGAATAGAGAAGGGAAAAAAAATGAGGAGGAGAGGTAGGGTAAAGAGGAGGTAGGGATAGAAAAGGAGAGGAGTATAGGAAAAAAAAGGAAGGAAGGAAGGAAGAGGAAGAAGAAGGAGGAGAAGAAAGGACAGAGGTGTATCTCCAGACATCGCTGTCGCTTGAGTTGTCACTTGGCGGTGTCATCTGTCCTCGAGCGACACGCGTGCGGAGTCGGAGGTTAATGGGCGGGGGGAGGGGGGGAGGGAGGTCACGGATGGGAGGGAACCGCACGCGAGGATCTTCCGCCAATGCAAAGATTTACTCTGGTTTCTTGATATATATATATATATATATATATATATATATATATATATATATATATATATGTGTGTGTGTGTGTGTGTGTGTATGTGTGTGTGTGTGTGTGTGTGTGTATGTATGTTTGTATGTATGTATGTATGTATGTATGTATGTATACATATATATATATATATGTGTGTGTATGTATATGTGTATGTATGTATGTATTTATATGTTTATTTATATGTATGTGCATAGATATGTATATATGTACACATACACATATATATAAATATATATATATATATATATATATATATATATATATATATATATATATATATATATTGTGTGTGTGTGTATGTGCTTGTGTGTGTGTGTGTTTGTGTGTGTGTGTACATTTATATAAATAGATAAATAAATGAATATATACGAAGCGCGCGGGAGAGAACCAGAGTGAAAGAGAGAAGGACAGATCGCGGGCGGGCGGGCGAGAGGGTCCGGAAGAGGCAGGTGCGGGAGTTTACGCAGTAATGGCTGCCATTACTCAGGTCGCGGGTCCTTCGGCGCCTTAGCGGAAGCGTTTATCAGGGGATAATTAGGGCGGAAGCGCCTCGCGCCGCCGCCGCTACTTGGGGCACGTGCTCGCTCCGCGCTCCCACGTTCCTTCGATTTTTTACACGCGCATTATAATTGCACAATGAACTTCCTAGTTAGTGATGATTGAGAGAGAGAGAGATAGAGAGAGAGAGAGAGAGAGAGAGAGAGAGAGAGAGGGAGAGGAGAGAGCAAGTGGAGTGTTGTAAGGAACTGCTTGCAAAGACCCCTTCTTAGCCCCTCCCCCTCCTCCTCCCCTTTCCCTCTCCCATCCCGCCGTAAATTGAATTCCACATGAATATTTAAGCGTGAACCGCCGAAGGTGTTTTGGCGGGATTGGATGTCAGCCGATTTCGCTCGATTCGGGAGTCGGTCGGACGGTCCTCGCGAAGGCACTACTTCCTCTTGATCTTTCTGTCTGTCTCTATGTAGGTAGATAGTTGATAGATTGATCGATAGATTGAGATATTATATATTTTTGTCTCTATTTCTATCTCTATATCCATCCATCTATCTGTCTACCTATCTATCTATCTATTTATCTATCTATCTTTCTTGCTCTCTTCCTCATGCTGGTCTGTCTCTTATACAGCTCCCTCCGCATCGTCCCTTCCTCTCCCTCCGTGCATCGCCTCTCGGCCACGATCCGGCGGATGCCATCGTGCGCCCGCATGGCCGTGCTGGCGGTGGCGGCGCGGGCGAGGACCTGCATGAGTCCTTCTCATTATAGGACTCCTTCTCGGACTCCGCATCCCCCTGGAGAGGAAGCGAAGGTGCGCGCCGGCCCCTTTGAGACGCGGCGCCGCAGCCAGATAATTCTGTGCTGCCGATGGCGGGGCACGGCGGCCAATGAGGCGGGGGTATGCAGCCTGGGACGCAGACTGGCTTAGGGAGGGGGCGACGGAACAGTTTTAAAAAATCAGGTGTTTTATATTCCACCGGCATCCCTTGTTATCAATATGCGCTCGTACGTTACTTTCTTCTCCCGTTTCTTTTTTTTTCTTTCCCTTTCCTCGCGATTTTTCGTCTCGTCGCCCCCTCCCCCCCCCTTTCCCATCATCGCAAAACTCTTGGGTTCGGGGGAAAAAAAAATATGAATTCAATCTCGCTGCGAGAGAAGAGTCCCGTTCAATGTTCCTCCTTCACTCCGCTCGACGGCAGGCTTCCTCGGTGAACAGAGAGGGCAGGGTGGTTGATGACCCGATGACATTTGACACTGAAAAATGACTGATGGCCTGTCTTTCCGATTCCGGTGTTGATATGAATTGTCTTTTGGTAGAAAAACCCACTGTGCGCCAATTAGATTTATTGATAATGAGGCAACGGTTTCGAAATCCACCTGGAGCCAGGTGGATTTCGAAAACTGTTGTCTCATTATTAGTAAATCTAGTCTGTGCATTATTTTTTTTTCCAACTATAGTACCAATACAAGAATGTTTTATTATTCATTCATTGTTTTATTTATTTCTCAAGTAGCAGCCATTTATTAAATATAAAATGGGTCTTATTTTTTATACGTCATCCACGAGGTTCTTGCTGTTTCTTTGTGATTTTCTTTGTTTAGGATTTGCTGGTTATTCATTATGCATCGGCTGGGTGGCAATTTCAGCGTAAACAATTCATGTCATGTTATATGAGTAGTTTATGATATTCTGGTATGTGCATTGTTTGTTTATTAAGGGGCCCGTGATAATTTTGATCAGGCGAAATCCCTCAAAGCGTAGTGAGCTTTGTCAGTTTTGCATTTAATTATTAATGAAATTTGATCTGTAAACATATGTATGCCCGCGTTTATGCGTCTGGTCGCATAAATGGCAATAACCACTGCTAACACACGCACACTCACACGCACGCCCACACACACGCCCACACGCACGGCCACACGCACGCCCACACGCACACGCACGCACACGCACGCACGCACACGCACGCACACGCACGCACACACGCACGGCCACACACACGCCCACACGCACGCCCACACGCACGCACACACGCACGGCCACACGCATGCCCACACGCACACGCACGCACACACGCACGTACACACACGCACACACACGCGCGCGCGCGCAGAGTATGTGTCTGTGTTCCCTCCCTCCCTTCCTCCCTCCCTTCCTCCCTCCCTCCCTTTCCTCCCCCCTTTCTTCCCCTTCTCTTTCCTCCCCCTCCCTTTCCTCCCTCCCTTTCCTCCCCCTCCCCCCCTCCTTTTTCATAAGCAGGGGAAGAGAAAGTGCGCAGTGAAAGACCAGCGAAAGCAGAGATA